TTACTAGCAAAAATTAAAATCCTTATATCTCGATCAAATCTCATGCTGACTCAAGGAAATTTTCAGGAAAGGCTTAAAAGGTGCCATATGTTGTTGACCACGCCGAAAAAGTGATCCAGCAGAACACCGATGCTCTGAGGTTTTTCAGAAGGTTTCTGGAAACCTTAAGCCAATGCCCAGCTCACATTCACCTTTTTCGTCTTTGATCGTATTTTATGAGCTGTCCTGAGCATTTTCTGGAAATTTCCTTGAGTCAGCATGAGATTTGATCGAGATATAAGGATTTTAATTTTTGCTAGTAACAGGCGAAAAACCGTTTTTTCACAACAATGCCTCTGGCGAAGTTATATTCATTTCCACACAAAAACAAATGTTGCTACTATGCTCAGCGTGGTCGATTACCTATAGTCCATGGCATTTTGAGATTCTCAGAGATGTCTGCTCGGAGATAGACACGTGCTCGGGGAAAGCGAGCCCTGCTCGAATGACGATAGCTAGAGAGTCGCGACTTGCATAATTTTGTAGAGTAACGAAAAGTTCTGCTCTAAAAAGTCTTGGCTATTGAATAGCGAAAATCGCAGGTCTCTATCTCATTCCTATCAAAAGTTATTCAAAAAATGCCCACGGGTCTTGTATTTTGGGATGGATAGTAGCATCATTAACTTCAACGAATAAAAAGAAATGGAGATCTGGACAGTGTCTCTCGTTAATCATGATATTATAACAATCAGACTGATAGATTTTAATATAAACTTGCTCATTTTTTACTCTATTGATGTATTCTAATATTTCTATCTTTATGTGTTCTTCTTTTCAAGCGAAAGTACTCGATTATTGAATTCTTCAACGTTTTTATCGTCACAATACTCATCCAATATTCATTTAACGTTTCGAACAAATGATCTGATAACACGTAAAGGTTTTTGGTTAGTCATTCAGCCAACCAAACGCGAACAAAAAACATCGTTGAAAGTAACCTGTCAACGACATAATTTAAACAACACATTAAAACCATTATCAATAGTAACAACAACTACTATTAGTTCAACTTTATTCACAGTGACAACAACAAGATATACTACATTGACTACTACCACCATCCATTTTAGTCAACAATCTGAAATTCTTATCGATGAAGCAATATCACCTTCATCTTCCAGTACTCATATCCCTAATCGTACTCATCGTAGTATTCTCTCATTTATTTTGATTATAACCGCAATATTTGTTGCCAGTTTACTCCTATTAAATTTATTTTTAATTCTGCTCTGTTGGAAACAACGTTGCCATTCAAAAAAACAGTCATCATCGTTTTTTACACCATCGTACGATCGAGAAACACCAGTTATAAATTCATTAGAATCTAAAACAACAACATCGTCGAGGTACATATTTGATCCAAGTCCAATTACTCAACGATCGCAACAGCCAGACAACAATACATCATCAACATCGACAACAAAAACCAGTAGCTATGAAGATCCTAGTGAATTAATAACATTAAATCCTAATAATGCACCTTCAGCAAGTTGGAATAATGATGTACAACAATTTAATCTAAACTTACATCATCAGTGTCCACAAACAGTACCGTTAAAAGTAGGTAGATCATCAAGGATAGAAATGTTAAATCTCTCGAACTTTTCAAAAGTATTACTTTCATTATACATTTAACGTTTTTTATTTTAGAAGACAGTGAATACAATCAATAATACGACTTTTCTTCAACAAAAAATATTTCGCCCTATCCTACCGTCACCACCATCTTCCGATAGTTACAATCGAATGATTCATTGGCCTCGATTGCCTATTCAATGTAATTTTAGTCTAAATCCGCCTGAAATTCATTATCCAGATTCGCATATTTATGAAACCATTCAAGATAATAATGGAACTCTACCCCCGTATCATCGACTAGCATCTACAATGCGTCGTCAACGACTTTGTCATCCCCAGTGTACGTGTGTACCAGCCACATATCATGATGCATCATTTAATTGTAGGACTTGTAATGAGAATAATAATAATAATGAAAATACTGTATCGTCTGATGAGTTTGATCAATCAAATCCTGAAACACTAGTCTAATTGTAAAATAACTGATTTTATTGTAATTTCTTTATTTTTTTGGCTTTTTTTTACTTAAATAAACTAATATGAAAACACAGCAAAGAAGCAAAACAAAAAAAAAATTTTCAAGATGAAACATCCTACATAAATGCACTAGCACCACCAATAGTTGCTTGTGGACCCAGTAAGAGGGATCGTTGTTCTTGAGCTATCTGTTGAGCTACTTGTAGCAATTCTTTTTGAACCAATATCGGAAATATTAATATACTAAACGACGACATACACCTAAAACAGAATAGCAGGAGAAAAATAAATAGTTTAATAAAGAAAATATTACAGCTACGACAACGACCTACGGGTTTAACGTTATTAGAATTTATCTTATCATACGTACCACCATGAGGCTGATCGTACATTTTTATACGCGAGTTTTGATGTTTTACTTGTTAAATGATTTAATTTTTCTCCAAATTGTTGCACAGGTTCAGGAAACATTTCTTTGAGCGCCAGAATACGTTCAATAAATGTTTCATCTACAAATTCATCTATATCATTATTATTATCATTAACATTATGGACTAGTAACTGCTGATTTTTTTCCATTGATTCCATTGATGTTGAGGATACAGATGATATTGGTAAATCTATCGGACCATTTATCAATGTTTCAACATTGATCGGATTATTTTCAATTAATTGTCGCAATAATTCATCTTGATCCATCGTAAAAAACCTATCTTTACTATGTCTACAAAGAAATGTATAACATAATAGATTTCACTAACATTACCAAGCTATTTCATTTTCTCAGACACTTATTTAGCATTCAAATATTTCACTTTTTCAATATCATTTAGTTGATGTCCTATCGTTTTCTTTATATCTTTAAAAACTTAGTAGAATTGAACATATTCATTTTATTCAATCATCAAATAAAAATGATTATTTTATGAATGATTTTTTAATAAAAAAGAATTATTTTTCATTTATTTCATGTATAATTTTTAAAATTTAATCAAGAACAAGAATGTAAGTTAATGTATGGAGTTTTGGACAAAGATCAACTCAACGTGGAGGAGATGTTTATCAAACTGAACTTCAAACTATGAAAAACAAAATTTTGTGGCATCTCTATTATTCAGTCTCAATTATATTTAAATATTTAAATATGATTGTGAAATAATACTACGCTCTTGATTACACCTTTATGCGTGAAACAGTAAAAAATATTATAGAATTTACAACCAATACTAGTGTACTATATGTAGATAATTTAAATAACGATAAACGAACATTTGACAAAAAAAATTAATAACAATTTTAAAAGACATATGTTATTTTTACAACGTAGATATGATGGCGAGAGAATTATACAAGATGAAAATATCATATTAAGATAAATTTTAAATGTCATTACGCAGGGTTACCAACTACAAAAATTCCTATATGGGACAGATTAATCTAAAATGTTTTTTAATGAGAGACCATGACAAATCCCACTTTACAGTAGTTTTTGAGAGAAAATAACTAATAACAACGTTCTCTTCTTTTATTTCACTGTCTTTCTTCGTTTTCTCTCTCTATGTGTGATAGAACAAAACAAAAAGTTATCTTCATTATGTGTCATTTTTGAATTTTTTCACAGATGGAAAGTGAGAAATTTTCCAAATGAGGATGAAGTTCTACGAGGGACAAATCTTCAAATGAGGGACATTTGACAACTCTATTCATATGCTGAAAAATGGAATAGAGAGTTGAAATAAACATCGTCTTACAGCGTATACGAAGGATGTAATCGCAACAGTTATTATATATCGATGTGTTTTGGAAATAATTCATTAATTACAGAGTACATTATATTATTTTGTGATTTTCAGTAAATTATACTATTTCTCATAGTTGTCATAGATACAAAAGGTTTAAAAAGTACAGAATTTACCTTTGATTATTCAAAAAACATCCATGTGTTATTTTTCTTATTATTTAATATAAAATCAAAAAAATATAGTTCAAATCACACGCATAACCGTATAAAAAAATAGATGAAAAACGGACAATGATTGTAAAATCAAATTATCTGGTGATCATTTAGAAATTATTAAACAATGGAAGTGTAAGATTATAAGTTGAATTACGTCAACCATTTTAGAAATTGTTCATCAGCAGTACACACTTTTTTGTCAATATATTCGATACTGTTCTGTTCAATATCGTTTAAATAATATCGATAGTTTACCATCATTGTACAAGAACTCTTTAATCCTCGTTCGCTCGTATCAGCCAACCAATTTAAACGCCATCTGAAATATACAAAAATAGTGTAAATTATTAATACGACTATTTTATATGCATAAATAGAGATACTGACAGCATTGACATAACAACTTTAGATAAAACAAATAACTTACATACAAGCACCATTTTTCAAATGAAAATTAGTCACAGGATTCAATGCAAAACCGCGTTGTTTCTCGACATACAAATAGTGTGCACATAATTTCATCAATATTGGTTTTATTTCATTAAGTACATTCGTATCTAAATGCCAAATATTTGTCGCTAGTACAGATTTTAACCATTCGCTTCTTTCAAGTGACAATAGTTGCGGACAACCATGTTTGATTTTATCTGTTAGCCAAGCTCGAAAACCTGAAATACATTTATTGATTAATAATTATAGATAAAAAAAGAGTTTAACAGTGTTCAAATTGTACCTGGTATAGGGGATAACGATGAAAATTGTTGTAGTTTTGGATATTCTATTTGAATGTCTTGGACACATCGTTTAATTAGAGAATTGCCTAACTCAATACCGCGTAAACCTATAAAAGAAGAGAGCTTGCCTGTGTATACGGCAATTTATGGTTATAATTCAACGTTATCACCTGACTGAGTTGATGATATCGAATAAAATATAGCTGAATGAATAAATTCTGGATTTTCCTCCGATGGCATTGACTTTATTGATGGTATTAAGGAATCAGTTGATGATGTAGCCAAAGAAGAATCTGATGTTGGCGTTTCTGTATGTGATTCATCATGTAATGTTACTCGACGAATAATCTCTTGTATTGAATCTGAAATATTATCCATAAGTGCAACATGTAGAATAACCAGTGGATCATTTTTCATCATAAAATGTGTATAAACAAAACAACGTCTGAAATAACAGAGAAAAAACGAATTTTAAGTTATCGAAAGCTTTTTGTTTTAGTGAGATACGCTCCAACATTATGATCCCAAGCAAAAACAGTGCTTTACATTTATAATGAAGATAGTTCTAAGGATGATTTCCCTGACCGTCTTAGGACTTATGATTTGAGTATAACATTCCGGTGATAGTATAAAACTACTTTAGCGATACTCACTATCGGCACATACCGATAAGGTCCCAATCGTCTTTTGAGATCAACCCACGTACGAATTGGATGTACAGCTTCATATTCGGACACACGTTGAACTAAAAGAAATGATAAATATGTTTAAAATTACACATAAATGACAAATAATGCTAACCTATTTCACACGGTGATTGCCACGTAACCCTTTCAACACTTAATAAACCAGTTGTAAACCATGTTGCTAAAAGTTGTTTTAATACTTCACTCATTCGCTTTAGATACTGACGAATTTCACTAGTTGATTGCACATTATATTCTGTAAAAAGAGAAATAAAACAAAAAGAAATGTTCTTTGAACACCGTGTTTTTGTTTGCTGTCACTACTATAAACGTTTCGTCTACCTGGTTCATCAAGAAAATTCAATAAATCTGAACGTAGTTTAACCAATTGTTTAACGCCCTCTTCTTGTCTACCAATTAAATGAAATAATTCAGTATACTTTGGTTGTGTTAAATTATTCAAACGTTGACATTTTTGAATTATATTGGTTTTATCGTTTTGTACTTGTGACAACTGAAACAAAAAAGTATATTTCTCATGCAACACTTGATTCGATGGTGTACGTGACTAACCTCGTTAAGTATCGTTTTAGGATCTAGATGATAAGATTCAGCAATATAGGAAAGAACAGAATATTTTTCATTTTTATTGCTTCGATCATAATGCTTTAAAAATATTCGAACATATTCTGAGGATAATATCGGACTTCGACGACCAAGAGAAAAAATTTCATTTAATAAATTACGTAGTCGAACAGTGGACGCCATCCAATAATCTAAAGCATGTAGAAAATAAATAAACATTTTAATATCCAACAAAGAGGAATTTAAACATATGCAAGTAAATATGATAAGAAGAAAATCTTGTAAACAAATATATACCTCTTTATAACAAAAAAGATTGTACATTGCGTAAATTAATATATGTATGATTTAAATACGATGATGGAAAATAATCTGAGAAAACCAGTATAGCGTAGAAGGAAAGTATCTCCTTCACATCCAATATCTATGGGTAATAAAGTGGAATGTGTTACAAAAAAGTAAGACAATTAGATTTGCAAAAAAAGGTAAAAATAAGACAAAAAAATAGTAGAGACAAATTGATGATACATTAACGCAATGTACAAAAAATAACACTTACAAAAAAAGATCGCAGGAATATTTTATTATCAAACAAGCAGTAGTAGCAGTGCACATATTGAATTTGAGATTTCTATGTTGTTTATAGAGAATGGTATCATAGTTAAAAAACAGCTTGGTATAAAACAAAGATACTTTTTATGTTTTCATTGATTGTTATTCTTCTTCGCTATCTGTTAATGTTCGATATTCTTGTTCATTATCGTTTTCATCACTCGAATTTTCTTGATCATCGTTCACTCCCGCCTACAACAAACATTTTACAAACTCTGATTCACAAACATGATTTAAATTAGACGTCTTAGGCATCAAGATATACTCAAACAGTAAAACTTACGAAAAAGTTAAAGTGCGTTAAGAGGAAATGTAAGCTTAAATTTTAACATTTGAAGCTAGAAATTAAACTCATTTATAGCTTAGACTTTTATGAAACATCGCTTAGTTTCTAGCATACTATTTTCTTTTTTTCCCCTAAAATGAGGGCCTGTAACACAGTGGACACTATCGACTAGAGTAGGCGGACGTATGTTATAAAACGGTTACAAAGTGCTGGATAGTTATTAAAAGGCGGTTTTAATAGGTTTTCGACTACGCTCTATCGAATGGTGATGTCAAAAACCTATAATACTTGATTTTCTGAAAGATCTCGGGAGAACCAAGGGGTTTTGGAAACTTTTTGCTACTTTTTTTGTTCGAAACCGAATTTTTTTGTTAAAAAAAATATATATTTTCTGATTGAAAATTTTCAAGGGGATCCTTACCCAGTTTTTTTCTAGTAATTTCTTTGTTTAAAAATCTTTTTTCGGATTTAAATACAGATTGAATTGTCAAATGAACTCAATTTTTGTGACCTGACTGGGAGAAGCGACAATTTTTTTGAAAATTCAATATCTCAAGAAAAGAACATTCATTTTGGCTGAAACTTTCAGGATATTGGTCGTTAAACCTATCTATGGGCAAAATTTGAAGTTGAAATTCTGTAATTTGTGTTTTCGGTAAATATGCAGGAATCGGTCGAGAATTCAGTAAAATGGTCATAAATCTTGACTAATAGATCATGAGGACGAATCCTTTTAGGTTTCTCTTAGTCTCATAGAGACCTACTCGTACTAGATATAATAATAAAAACTATACTGGATTTAATAATAAAAATCTGTTTTATTCAGAGTGCTACGTTTCAGGCTAGTTTTTAGTTAAGTATTTTCTGACGATCCTTAGAAGTTGAAATAAAAAAATTTATGTTATTAAATAGAGCTTTCATTTGTTTCGTCTAATGTCCGCTGGATGTCCTCTGTGTGTAAGTTACCTGTAATGGTTTTTCAATATATGATGAAAATATAAACAAGTCTTGTTTTGTTGTTTAAAATTACAGGAAGTGAAAACACAAAAAAAAATGATCATAAATATATGTATGGATTAGTAACAAGTACTCATGGAACGCGAAAATTAAGATGATTGCATATGCATTCAAAGCAAACATTTGTGATGTATCTTAGTTTAGTACCAGCTGTTTCCACAGTTTTTCTGGCACAATCCAAAGGTTTCAGCGGTCTAATAGCATAATAACTTTTTCGTTTGATTACTTTTCATAAAACTCGATAATCATCAAAATTATCTTGCACTTCTTTTGAATGTATATGTTAATATATATGTAATTGTAAAAGTTTTACGTTAAAAATGTAAACGATAACTGAAAAAAGAATAAAACATTAATAGCATAAGAGTCTAAAATAGATATGTTATTACATACCGATTTGAATCGCCTCTGACGGCATTGTTCGTTAAGACGATCTTTTAACTTTTTAAAATTTCTCAAGTACCGAATTAGAATTAGTCTATCACCTGAAGAAGAAAGAATTCTATATTAATAAAAGAGTAACATTTTTAAACTTTTTATCACGAACTTATCAAGATCTTTTGCATTTTTTCCACATTTTTGTTCCAACTGTGCCTTTTTTTCTCTATCACTAAACGATTTTTGAAGGCCGTTAATCAGAGGCATATTTATTTCTTGACACTATTTCATAAATCAGTAAAATATCTTAAAAAAACGATCAAACTACTTGTAACGATCAGACTAAAAATTTTATAGAGAAAAAAAACGACAACATTGTCACAACTGGAATGTTTTTTATACGGTACAAAACATGCTTATAGCTCTTATTCATTCTCCTCGATAACATATTGGGAGATGCTCGGATTACACCAGTTTCTCAATTTATTTACTGAATCACAAATATTTTATCATAAAAATTCGCTAAATTCTGGCTAAATAAATTTATAATACAAACATCAATTTTTAAATTTATCTTTTTTTAAGCAAAAAGATACTTAGCATGTAAAACATGTAAAAAGAAATGATAAGTATAAAAAGAGATAATTAATTGTATTAAAATGAATATAAAAGATTTAAAATTTTAAAATTTTAAAATTTAAAGATCAGATCACAGAGAGTTTAACTGCTATGAAAAACCAGAAAATATTACATTCTTATAAGACAAATGATATACTCGACAAATCTGCACTGTAAAAATCATTTAGACAATAAAAAAAAAAAAATGGAAATTCCCAGTGGTAAATACAAACGTACAATAGTGTCTTTGTATTTTCATTAAAATTATCCACATTCAAAAACTATCGTTGTGGAATGTTTGAATGAATAAGCAGAGATCCTTCGCATTTAGTTTTAGTTTTTTTTTACAAATGATATTCTAGACATATGTTTGATTTGAGAGAGAGAGAGAGAGATAGCTACAATATAAAGTCGCAAGTTCAAGCAGTGAAAATGTTAGAACTTATTATCGAAATTATGAGCTAAAATTTATTCATTCGTATTGCTAATAGCAAAAGGCAACAAAATTCTGGTATAAAAAAATATAATTTAAAAATAAACAAAAATGAGTAAGGCGGTGGTCAGTATTTGACCCTTTTTTTTATTTAAGTTATTAAACAGGACTTCTGCATAGAAATTGATTTCTCGGTGGTTTTTTCCCAATACAAAATACATTGTAACCAATCGATATCAATAAATCATGATCTAATACAAGACGACCATCAAAAATAAATGAAGGCTTTTTCATGGTACTATAAATTAATTCATAATCTAAATTCTAAAATAGAAAATTAATTTTTCAATTAGATAAATCTAATCAACTATGTTGCAACGAAAATCTTAATGGTGATTGTTTCTCATAGTTTTTTTTATTTCTTCTAGAAACGATCGACAAATAAAATCTTCTTTACTAGCCTTAAATTCGTCCCATTCGGTACAAATAACGATAGCATGTGCATCTTTTGCTGCATCATACGCATCATTGGCTATTGTTACATGGGCATGTACTATACGAAAAACAAGAATAAAATATGATTAAAGTAGTTTTATCAAGAGTGAAAAAAACTACAGTCGTACAATCTTTTTCTGTTTTTCCTGTTTGTTCGCTTAAATCTAAGAATATTCGTTCAGATGTTACTTTAGGATCATAGATTGATAATGATGCTCCTTCGGCTAATAAATATCCACATACACAAATACTCGAAGATTCTCTATGAACAAAACAAATAAAATAATTATTTATTCATCAAAAATAATTTTTCATTTAAAAATTACCTTGTATCTGCCGTATTATTTTTAAATGCAAAACCATAAATAGCTAATTTTTTACCACTAACACTTCCGAATAAATTTTGTACAATTGTTTGAGCGAATCTTTGACGTTGCCAATCGTTTATTTTAATTACTTGTAACCAATATTCAGCAACTGGTTCCAGATAGAGAGATTCAGCCAAATAAATCAAATTATATACATCTTTTTGGAAACAACTACCGCCAAAACCTTAAATATGAAGTAAAATAAAGACTTTGTACGTGTTTAGTCAATTTTCTGTCTTTTTACCTATACTTGCATTCAAAAATTTTGGTCCTATCCTTGAATCAAGTCCAATAGCTTTCGCTACTTCGGCAACATTGGCACCTGTTGCTTCACACACAGCTGATATTGTATTTATACTTGATATACGTTGGGCAAGGAATGCATTTGCTGCCTAAAGGTACAGAGATTATAACTCTGAATTATTCTTTTCTAAGATGCTTTGAGTACCAATTTTGATAATTCTGATGACCATGTATTTGTGGTTAAAATCTTCTCTTTTGGTACCCAATGTTCATATACCCAACTGAGTTTTTTAACGGCTAGTGAGCCTTCAACAGAATCATCACCTCCAATTAGAACACGATCTGGTGCTAATAAATCATGTATAGCTGAACCTTCAGCTAAAAATTCTGGATTTGATAATACCTGAAACAGACATGTATTTATGTAAAAATTAACTGTCTGCAAAAAGTAAAACTCACCTGGTAGGATACTCCGCGTTGTTTGTTTGTTTTTAAAATTGTTTTGATAGATTCGGCTGCTTTCACAGGTACAGTTGACTTTTCAACAACAATTTTACTAGTGGTGGCTGTTTCGGCAATATGACGGGCCGCTTCTTCAACATATCTCAAATCAGGTGCACGACCCTATAGTAACGGGTGGCCCATAAAGAATGACGGTTTCAGTATTTCGTGAATATCTCATGCAGTTTTTATCGCTCAGACCTCGCCTTTTTTTCAAAAGATTCCTCATTCAATTCTGTACAAAAACGTGTGAAAAGAGCTTGCACAAAATGAAACCATGAAACTCTATCTGGTGAACACTGGTTTGCTCCGAAAAGACCTGTCTTCAACCGCACGTTTTCACAATATTAATTTTTTTCTCCCTCTGACTAACAAAGTGTCGAATCACTGTGGTGCACATTTCTCGCTATTTTCAAGTATGCTCTTTCTCATGGCACTTGAAACGATCGCTTGATAGTATTACGAGATTCCAGGGATAGTTTACCTTGAAAAACGAGTTGGAATAATTCAACATTTTGTTCTCACGCACAATTTGTTGCCAAAACTATCTGAACACCGATAAAGTCATTTAGCGATGATAGAAAGAGCATTTTTCTTCAAACTGGCAAAGATTCGACTGTGAAAAGTTACATTTTGAGCTAACCGCATGGAAGTTACAGAGAAGTCCAGTAACAGATCCAAAAAAATATCGGTGTGAGAAAAAAGAAAAACGTTCTGTTTTATACACATTTCAAAGTCAGAATTTTTCTATCATCGCTCGGCTGATAGGGCTTTTCGAGAACTACAAATTGACAACTTCAATCTTTCTATATCTAGCCATATGGTGATGTGAAATGCAACGAACGATAAGACATACTTTGAAAAAGGGCATTTTCAGAGCCAATATTCACCACATAGAGTTTCATGGTTTTATTTTGTAGAAACTCTTTTTATACTTTTTTGTACAGAATTGAATGGGGAATCCTCTGAAAAAAAGATGCGGTCTGGGCAATAAAAACTGCATGAGATATTCACGAAATGCTGAGACCGCCGTTCTTTATGGGTCACCCGTTATTTCGAAAAAATGATAATGTCAGAGACCCATAGTATAGCACTCACTTACATTTCCAAAACCATATGATTTTGTTGGAGTATTCACGCTAATAAATATTAAATCGGCTTCTTGTATGGCTTTTTTTGTATCCGTAGAAAAAAATAAATTATGATTACGAATTTTTTTTACTATTGCTTCGAGACCCGGCTAAATAATAGAAATAATAGATAAAGTGATTTAATGTAATTATATCTGATCCTACCTCAAACAAGGGTAATGAATCCGAATTCCAAGCCGCTATTCTTTCGGATGATATATCAACAACGGTAACAATAATATGTGGACATTTTGACGCTATAATGGCACAAGTTGGACCACCCACGTAACCAGCGCCTTTAATAGAGAAAACCGATCAGTCGATCTGAACATCATCTTCTATTACTAAGACGTACCAATACAACAGATACGAAACGTAGAAGAATTTTCACCATTATCAGACCCTATAGATGCTGCATCGCCACGATCTTTTCCGGTGTCATCTACAAATAAAATAAACAATAATTGTTAATATTAAACTTAGATGTCTATCTAGATCACAGATGCACGGAGAACTCGATTTTTAGAAATCGTCTCGATTCGTCACTCTGAAAGTCATCTCCCCGCTCCGTCCCGGTAGAAGAATTTTTTCCTTCTCGTCACTTTTCAAAGCCTAAACCCTCCTTCGCATTAAACATCATGTTTTATTTCAAAACACTTATAGTAATACAGAAAAACAAATCAGAAATCCCAATGTTTATTTTTTTTTATAGAACAAACGACGATAAAGTCGTTTACTGTTTGTGGGTTCAGATTAGATTGTCGTTGTTGAATAATGAACACGCCTGCAGTCGACAAAAAAGTTCCGCTCCGCAGTGATACCATCTAGCCCATTTTGGACCGGTTGAAAGCGATCAATTTCACCTTGTATACGTGAGGTGTCGCTTTTTCCAATATTTTTCGAAGTTTAGTATTTTACCTATACAATATGAATAAGGCGACGTGATACCTCACGTATGCAAGGTGAAGTTGATCGCTTTCAATCCCGAATTCGTGTAAAATTGAGTAAGGTATCATCTCGTAGAGAAAAATGTGCGCGACAAGATTATCATAAAACCGATCCCATTTTTGAAAATTACAATTTAAAATGAATGCGTACGTAGTAAACCTTCTTCAAAAATTCTAAATCGGTAGTTCTGTTCAGTTTCTTGCACTCTTTCGGATGGGATATAAACGAAATTGTTTTATTAAACTTTAAATGAATAAAAGTTCATTTTATTGAAATTTTGCACCCTCTATCGGTAAAATTAAAATTTCAAGGTTAAAATGGCAGACTTGGATAAAATCTTTTTTTGCAAAATGTAGAACACAAAATTCTCTATCAAATTATATATGTTTTGAATATTTTAACAACACTTTCTAGACAAGATCAGAAAACAGTCAGAGCGCCAAGCATAAAATGCATAATAGAATAACGTTGTCCTCAATTCAAAATCGTAAATTTTGCCCACCTTATGTCTGAAAGAATGTATCTCAATCAGAGAACTTATCCCTAAAATATTTTCTTAATCAAGCGCTTCCTTCCTTAGTAGGTCGTCTATGCATGTGACGATTGGCTAAAAAAATGAGCCTGTTGATAACGCAATAAAGTCACAGAAATCAACCATATTGAATATCGTTTCCATGTACTACTCTTCTGTATACGACATTTTTGCATAGACGACCTACTAAAGAAGGAAACGCTTGATTAAGAAAATATTTTAGGGATAAGTTCTCTAATTGAGATACAGCCTTTCAGACATAATGTGGGCAAAATTTAAGGTTTTGAATTGAGGACAACGTTATTCTATTATGCATTTTAGGCTTGGCGCTCCGACTGAAATTAAGAAGAAAAAAAGAATGCTAAACTTTTTGTCGTTTATAGCAAAACTAATTTAATTTGTAAAAATCCAGTTTCTCTTTCACAAAGATCCTATTATATGAATCTTAAAGATCAAGATGTCAGCTATATATACCATACTTCAAACCTTTAAAGCTTTTGTAGATATGGAAAAGAATCAAAAAGAAAAAGGGGTAAACTATTGTCTCCTATTTACACCAAGTAAAAAAGATCATTAAGTTTCTACACCCAGCATCTTATAGCACCATGCTACGAGCAAAGTTTGTTTTAAACTGTTATGTCGATTTAATAAAGAAATACTGTTCTTACCATTCTCTAATCGACCACACTGAGCACAACTGTTTGTGAGACTAGCAGAAGTTGAAGACATTAAATCTACAAAATAAAAATACTTATTATTAATCAATTTGAAACCTAATATGAATTTTCAAACATTTTTATCACTTTTAATAGGTTACAGACATCTTATATCTCAGGCACAAAGTTTTATTTGGTTGTTGCTAATTTTTTTACGTATACAAATTCGTTTGTTATTTATAATTCTCTATCTACGTTTGCATCTTTTTTCATAAAACAGAAAACACTTTAAAGTTTCGCTAAAGAAAAGCTCACATTTACTCTCTGGTAAATGAGATCGTACAAGAAATATATAATGTCACTCATGCATAATTTATTAACATTCTACTTACTGGTTTATTGTGATTTATTCTGGTCTTCGATTCACTCTCGTTTTCCTCTTTTTTATCTTCTGTTTAAGTTGATTTTCCTCCTTTTCCTCTTTTTTTCGAAAAACTTTAGAGAAAAGCAACAAAATTTAAAAAAAATTAATAGCAATTACCTTGAAAGAATATGTTTGAAAAGTAAAAGAACAAAATTTCTACGCTTAGCGCGTATAATAAGCACTTAGTTTGGCATGAACAACACTCATTGCTCGACGTCTGCTTCGATTTGATAAAAGATTTGGTGATCACCGAGAAAAATGTCTAGCAGTAAACCAGGCCACAAATAACGGGAGGTTGCGCACTCTCAGAATAATTGAAAGAGCTGTTGTCATTTTATCCATTATTCCTCGTACAAAATTATTTTTTATTCATTTTACACTACCTCAGCGAAAAAAATTTTGTTTTATACCCTCTAATGTTCGGCTTCTATTTACAGCCCTGGCAATTAATCAGAACAGTTATGAGGTGTATTTTATGTTTTCTACAAATTTGAGTGTTATATTACTAAAAACGATGCAGAGGAACTGAAACCGTTAAAGAAACTGCATGGAAACTGACACACACATACAAAAAAAAAAGATCGACTATCTTTGTCCTTATACAATTTCCGTTTCAGACGTTGTTCAAAAACAATTACAATTTAGTGCTCATTTGTTTCTCTTATTTATTTCAGATTTGGTTCATACGGTTTGGAAGAAAACGTCCTTTTTTTCAGCAAAACAGGAATCTGCTACAGACGCTCAATGTTTGATAAGTCGGATTCTGATCTGAAATGATGTGTCAGAGTGATTTTGTAGACTGAAACACTCATTCCTCTTTTTGCACTTCAGATCCTTTTTAAAAAACTTTCCAATTCTCTTTCTTTCCTCTTTTTTCAGAAAATTGCAATCGGAGGCCAGGATTTAGATAATGATATAGAGTGCAATATGGTAACACATTAAGCGAACATGTTTTGGAGGAAAATGTTTAGACAACACTCTAGAGTAATAAACGTATTTTGAGTTTGTGTTTAGCGTTTGGAATTTTGACAGCTCCAAAATAATTTCACTCAACGTTTTATTGTAGTGTGCAACAATGTGACATCTATTCATCACAACCATCAAATGATACTACCTAAGACATGTTTCATATTATTGAAGTGAGTGTATAGAAATGCTAATCAAAAGCTAAATATATGCCATCAATATTAACCATTATCTTCGACTGTGTAGAAGTTTTTGATGATCGCTTGAAATTCTATTTCTATTTTGTTTATATATGCTGAGAATCATGCTTGAGATCCATTAAATGCCAGTAAGAACTAAACATTTAACTGCATCTATTTTTCGTAAATTTCCTATCTGACGGTTTTTTGGAGAAGTTTTCAAAACTCATTTGATCTATCTTACTGGAAACTAAATTATTAAAATTTAAAAATCAAAACCAAACAAATGCTTTTTCGCTGAAGAATTTTAAAGACCGAATATTGTCAATTATTGATCCATGATCAAAAATACCTTTCTAGTATGGGATGAGACTAGTTCTTTTAGAGACTCTACTATCCATACTTTTTACTGAAAAACGTAGCAAAAAAGTTATCCTTAAAATTCTTCTAGATAGTTCAGAACTATATCGGTCCATTAGATAGAGGTTGAGAAAAGCAATGTTAAATTTTCGGATGTAACAGACCTAGTCGATAATTTTAAAACATTCACTTAAGAACGGGAACGAAAATAAATACTTGACAAACGGAAAAACAACTTCGAAATCACGAAAGACAGACTTAGTAAGACTCATTTTCAACTGCTGTTGATAATGTACGGTAATCATCATTGACTGGTTACATTCAATATTCAGATTCAACAGACGATTCAGCAACTTAATTGTCCGTTGAATCTGAATATAAAAAATTTTTGAAGACTGTTTTATACTACTTACAAATTTTTAATATGTGAAGAGGTAAAATTTACCAATTTTTAAAATATTGAATGATTTTCTTTTGAGAAACTTAGCGGAAAAGAGTATACGAATAAAACACTAAACTGTGCATTTCGAAGTGCTAAATATCGCCCCTAATTCATATCCGATTGGATCAGACTTATATTACAAATTGTTACAAAGAGCGAGAGGTCGAAGCAGGTTCGATCTGCTTGCGCTAGATAACTGTGCTATCTTTAATCTGTTTATTCTTCTCTATGTCTTCTCATGAAAAAGACAATAACAATATTGTTATGGCAGTATAGTACGAAGGTTAGGAATGGTGCGAAAACGTCAGAATGTAGTTTATACTATCATTGGTATCACATAACTTACTAGAAAACTTTGATGAATTTTACGATGCTCTCATGCTAATAACAAAATTAAAATTGTCATCAGGATGTATATGTGAAAAGTGTGATATAACGAAAGTGATGAAAAAATATGATACATTACATGAATTCTTGCTCGCCAAAACGAATTAGAATCATTATTCGAATAGCTATCGAACACTTGAAATCGATTCGGAGTGATGTTTGGTCGGTACGTGTAACGGAGTCGATCATAACATTGAATAACATCAATATTAACGGTACCCATAGCAAAACTTGGCTCGACATTTTTAATCGGTTTCGTGTAAAATAGTAAATGTTAATTGTGTACCCAGTAACAATGAATAATCAGAGACCGACTACTTTTTGTGAAAATTAAACTAGAGAAGAATACCTTTTTTTAAAATCTAACTGCAGATCATCCATCTATAACAGTTTGTCTATCGATTAATCTTTTTTCCAAATCTAAGTAAATAAACTGCATGGCTTAGGAGCGTGATTCAACACGACCTAGTACGTCAGAACGCTATCTACTATAGACAATATCAAAAGAAAAACTAGAGCAAGATAGAGGAAATGATAGCAAAAAGTATTTTTGCTTGAATGTTTAGACGAATTTCTTACAAGATCTTATGAATTCTTGTGTGATTTTGAGAATTTCTGCAAGTTGAAACAAGTTTTTTATCACAAGATTTCTTAAGATATCTCGTACTATCATCTTACAAGTTCATATTTCAGTATTTTCCGCTCTAGGTTAAAAATTTTTACAGAATAAAAATCTATTTTGTTGTAAAAGAATAAATAACTCAATAAAAAACAGAAATGATCTCAAAAACACCGGGCTGTTTTCTCTATTCATTCTTCGACACAAAACTAGAATAAAAACTGTTTAAGTCAAGAGAATTCATTCTCTATTTTACATATATGGCTTAATCATGTGTTTTAACGAAATGTTAAACCTTGAACCAAATGAGGATCAGTCTTTAGTGGGGGAAATTGAGTGAAGCTTAAGTCTGTAGAACCTCTCAAGTCCGTCATCTATCTCACCACCAACACCATCCTGAAGACAAGGGATAAAGTATAATCATTTGGAGTAAGATTATTAAAAATATGAATGGGATAAATCCCATCGATACATGTATTGAAAAATGAGGGATGAATTATTATCATCTTCTCACTTTCTGCCTGTGAAAAAATTCAAAAATGACACATAGTAAAGATAACTTTTTGTTTTGTTCTATCACACATAGTTAGATACAAAATCGCAAGTTAGATACAATTAAAACAGAAGTTTTCTGACAAAATAGTAATAGTTAGGGTCAAGTATGAGACGAAAAGCTAGCATTAGCATTGTGGTAGTGGACGTCGAAACAGAAAAATAGCATATAGAAACACCATCTATTCCACGCCATTTTTTGTGTTTGTTTACTATTTATTTAATTGTTGTTTATTTTGTCCCGGGTTGTTTAAGAAAAACGTGGAAAATGCTGTGGTAAAACATGGAAATTTTTAAATCAAGTAAAGATATGGACGGTCAAAAGTGACTGTATCTTTATCTCGATGAGATTTTCAATTAAAATATTCTAACAGTAATGACGACATCTTTAGGTTGTCAGCCATGAAAACTACCTTCAGAAAATGACTTTATCAAAATAACTTGCGACAGGTTAAAAAAGCGAACAGATTTACACGTACCGGCTGTTAGTAGTCTTAAAAAATGTCTTTTATCTTTTTTAAATACTTCTTTCGTCTTAAAATGGAGCAGATAGTAAGTGCTTAGTGCGCAACACTTGTATACACTTCGAAATGTTCCCATACGTAGAGCCTGTTTCTATAGCAACATGCTTATAATGGAGCAAATGTTTAGCATTTATTCGTTCAAACCAAATTTATGGATGGTTTGGTTCGACCGTTGCGTTCTCTCCTTTCTCGTCTTCTATAAGTACTGAATTTGTTCAGTAATAATTCTTTTTGATTTCATGATTGTTTGTCTTGTCAATGAAGATTAAATATTTCATGCGGTTTTAAGATCTTTAAGTGAAAGAAAATTTTCGTAAATTTGAAAGTGTAGTAAATACATTTTTCTTTGAATATTACGAAAATAACTTCTAGTAGTTAATTTCTTACAAATAAGATAATAAACTTCAAAAATCCTTAAAATTTATTATTAAAGAAATCGTTTAAAAGTTACTGTAAAAAATGTTCTCATTATGTTAACCTGGGCTTTGCAATTTCTATCAGAGAGCTCTGAACTAGCTAACTTATATATGAACAAATAAAGACAGTTTTTGAAGAACTGATTTATGTTCTTCTTGTTTACTGTGGCCTATTGATTGTGTCGAGCACAATTCAAGCAAAGGACAACAACTAGTAACAAACAAAATGGGCTCTTTTTTTATACTCTAATTATATAGTGAAAAAAAAAGAGTGAAGGAATGAGAAGAGTGAAAAAGAGTGAAGTTTATAATTAGAGTACTTGATTCAAATAGGTATCACTCCTCGTTCATGATAGCTTTCAGTTCCCACAAATGGTATGAAGAAGAAAAAATGTGTGGAAAATAAATTGTGGTAATGTTTCTGATTTTCTTTTCTCTTATTTTTATCGATTAAGAACGATACGATGTTCACTGTAAAAGTTTAGTCCAAATTTGACTTTTCCAGACCCCTTTTACGTTTTGAGATATGTGGCTCTCAATATTTGAATAATATTTAATAAATCATACTTTATGCTTTTATATTCTCCAGCTAGTTAAACCCTTTTTGACTACCATAACTTTCCGGCTTTCTCTTCGGGTCAGGATAATCAGGGATATTGTGTATTCAAATTTTACTCATAAAGCAAAATAAAAAATTAAAGTAACAGCTTAAACTCGATAGAATGTATTATTTCGAGTTCAGTTTTAGTGGTTTTACCAGGAAAAGTAAAATTTGGACGTAAACTAGCTCTAAATACCATTGTTCGCAATCACGGCAATCACGAAAAGTTTAGTGGACATTTAAAACTGGTAAAATTTTCTAATGAGACTGAAAACCGTAGATTTTGCTAATTTTAAGCAGCGATATTGGCAATCTAATATTTCCGAAACTAACAAGGATCTTTTTGTGAAAAATAGATCAATACATAGTACAACCTGTACACTTCAAAGTAGCACAAAAAGTGGAAATGAGTACTCGCTAATTATGTTAATTTTGATTCCTGCTGTCGGCAGAATACGGGCTAAATTCATAGCTTCTTCTGAAAATGAAAGAAATGGTGTCTCAATAAACATAACCTCTATTAAAATAAAATAAAAGATTTTCTTTTTCTTACTTATGTCGTTCTGTTAGAGTGCCTTGGGGTAATTATGGTCAGGTCCTCAAAATTTCGTTGTATTTCTGCTATAGTTCGCTCAATTTTTATCTAAGAAGAGCGATATTTTACAGGTAAATAGCGGTGACTTCTGACTATCGATCCATGTAAAAATTTTCTTAAAATTCATTAGCGTTAATTAGTACTAATCAATTTCTGGGGTAATTATGATCAATACAGCAAAAATGGCTGTGATAACCTTAAGTTAACTTAGTTTCAGCGGGGGATTTCAAGGAAAATAATTAAAAATTATATCATCTTGTAGAGAATTTCAAGCTCTATCACCTGTATAAACTGCATGCTATTTGGACTTACTGTTAATTAATTAATTAGAAACTACAAGAATGTGTTTTTTCGAGAATGTGTGTTTTTCGCAGTCACTTGGGGTAATTATGGTCAGTCCGTGTAATTTGCACGGTAAAGTCAGAGTTTAAACTCCACTGACTTACAGAGACCGATTTTACATCAATGACAAATAGAGAAGTTATAGACGAGATTGTTCTCTATTATCTGAAGTGAAAAGTGGAACAAGACCGCTTGGTTCTAGCGATTTGTAGCCGTCTGATGAGTTTTACTGAATTTTAGCACATTTTTGTAAGCTTCGCTTTTGCTCTGTTTTGTATTTCATTCAGTTGTTCTTTTAACTTATTCCTCGGATCCGGCAGAACCGAAATATAAATAATTATCCTATAAATATTCTTAGACATGCTTAAAAGTAGATTGTTATACGAAACATCAGCATATGATGAAAAATAGTTGAGAAATAATTGTTAATGATATTTTCGATAAATACCTATGCATAGCATTTTGAATATCATTTTACATGAAATTTTTTGAAAAGATCAAATGTACGCACACAATATCCCTGATTATCCTGACCCGAAGAGAAAGCCGGAAAGTTATAGTGGTCAAAAAGAGTTTACCTAGCTGGGGAATATAAAAGCAAAAAATATGATTTATTAAATATTATTCAAATATTGAGAGCCACATATCTTGAAACGTAAAAGGGATCTTTTCCTGGAAAATACATCAGTATATAGTGTAACTTCTGTATTCAAACTAGTATAAGAAGTGAAAAGTTTCAGAAAACTTGGCAACTACCTTAGAAAATTTTCTCGACATTCTGATATGTAAATGCTGTTTACATACTATACGTAATATAGACTACAGGCTGCGTTGATCATGACTTCTTTTAGCCGGATAAATGACGGATTGGTAAAAAATTTGTATTATTCATTTTATCTGTAGTTTTGTTCTAAATATGTTTTTTATTTCAAGATACATATAATATATTATTAGAAAAACCGCTCATAAATATTCAGTCATGACATGTTCATCAGATGTCACACATTTATAACGTTACGAACAACTGTTGAAAGTTAAAAAAGATTGTCAATTATTGTGAATATTAACGGGAGACATTATGTTAACATGCAGTATATCAAAACTCTCATTATTCCATCATCTCTATACTCATATGAAGGCTTAGAAATTGAACTGTGTGAAGGCATGCACCACTTCTTTTTCGAAAGTTCTTGAAAATAAAAATCTAACTTCAAAGTTACTTATTCTAAATGTTTTTTGAATGAGTAAAAATGTCGAGCAGATTTTTTTCTACAAAAGGAGATAAGGCGTGATCAATTCTGATCAAGCCCAAACCAATTGCAATTCTGCTACTTTAAAAAAGCATTTCTAATTCACTGTGAGTTATCATTTGATCTCTGGTCATAGAATATTCATTTAGATCATTTATAATTCGATATTTCGATTGATGATAGTGTGTCGTTGTTATGTTTCAATGTTAATCGTTTACGATGAATTTTCTTAACTCGATTTGCTTGAATATTATTACATAATAGCGAAAATTGATAAAAATGTCTTTGACTAAAAGCTAAACCAGCATTAATTAAATGGTTTCTTAATAAAATTGTTCATGCAAAGAAAAGTGATCAGATATTGTTCACATTCGCTATTCAGCTGTTTCGGATTCTCAAGTGGACCTTGTGACTGTCTGTAATAAATTTCGATGTTTTAGACCAGTTTTTTTGTTTTAGCACAAAGTTGTTTTGTAATTTTTTTTACTATAACATGGATCGAGCAGAAACGAGAGTTACAATAGCATAAATTGAAACAAGAATATCAAAAGCCTCGAAAGCTTTTAATATGCTTCGAACCCCTATCTGGTATAGGAAAAGTGTGTCGGTCGAAGCAAAAGTCAGAATATTTCGAGCACTACCACCCGCTTGGTTGCATGAAAGTGAGACACGAGCTCCTACAATAAATGAAGAAAGACGCCTACAAACATTCTATATGGGATGCCTAATAACATTGCTTGGCGCTACTTTAGGTGGTCGAATGCCAAACGATCTGGTATTAGATTTAACTGGTCAACCAAGTCTTGATAACATCATGAGAAAAAATAGGTTAAGATGGTTTGGGCCCGTAAATCGAATGGAGAATACTAACGGTGAACCTGTACTGCCAAAAAAGGTTCTTTTTTTGTTATTTCCCAAACTCTCGACGAGCCTAAGGTGGAATGGAGAAACGATGGCATGACACGATCCCAAGGATGATACCGAAAAGTTAGAGATTAAAAATTGGAGAAGGGGTACATGAGACAAAGATCGATGGAGAGAAATTATCAACAAAAACGTTAAAAATCAACCAGTTCATTGAGATGTCCATAAAATCGTAAAGCAATATAAGGAAAAGGCCCTGAGAACCAATTGTGCGGCCAAGGCGTTCAGAAACGAAATGCATTTTGCACCGTGCAAACTGTTAATTTGAAATTTTTATACCATAAAAATGAAACACTTCACTTCGTTTAATTCGTTCAGTTCGTAAATGCACACTGTTGAGGGTATTTTACGAACTGAGACCATTTTACGAATTTCGTAAATGCACATTGCTAGATCCAAGTTTTATACTACTCACTAATTTTCATGTTCGAAGGATTCGCAAACGCGAAGTGTATGATAGAATTAGACAATTCGTAAATGCACTTTGCTGAGCGTGGACGAATAGCAGGAATTGCAAAATTAGGTGTTCCTGAAAATTCTTAGCGTTTTACAGATTCGTAAACATAACCGGTTGAGGAGTCAGCTAATTCGCAAATGCACTTCGCATTAGCGCAAAACCGACCTTTTATACGGGGAACAGAATCGGTCCAAATTTTTTTTCTGAAGAGCTTATTATGTGAATCGACGGGCAGCAAAGTATCTCTTGATTCAAATCACTTTTCACATTTTGGCACTATCTAGTGCTATCTCTGGATTATACAATCAGCAAAGATACTTCTGCTAATTAATTTACATCTATTACATGGATATCTTTCTTGGAGTTTTTTTCTTCAAAACCTCAAAGCTATGATCATTATCATAGTTATTCCATCCTAGTGTATCATCTCCTGTTGCCTGTGTTGAATGAGATAATGCTGATTGTATAATCCAGAGATATTCGTTACATTTTATTGATTCTCGAGTTAGCAAATACAGACTTTTTGTTGTTGTTCTTTTAATTGTACTTTTTAATGCTTTTAATACAGGACGTTTACTATAACTTGCTGTCCATGACTCTAGAACGAAGAATAAAACTTAAATAATAAGCGCAATTCATAAGGCTATAGAAAACTATAGATGCCTTGACTTTGATTAAGGTTATCATCAAAATAATCATCATTTAAAAACATAATTGTGTGTAAAACACTACAAAAAGCTTCATAGAATCGAAAAAGTTAAGCATATCATTTCAGTCAATAAGTTACAAAGTGGAACATCACTAGCGCATGACTTCACATGGTCTGTGATTTTGGGGAGACAGTAATGATGATGATGCATTGCTTTTACCGCATGTACGTCGGTGGATAGTCACATCACATCCCTTTCATTTTTACATTTTTGGCCGCACATCGTACACACATTACTACTAGCTATAGTTGTAGTAGTAGCAATTGATGGATCTTTTATTGTTTTACTTGATAAGGATGCACGTTCCTCAGTCCGCCTTCTCACGAGTGGTGCGGACAAAGCGTTCAAACACAAATTCGCAGATGGCGTTACATTTTATTGATTCTCGAGTTAGCAAATGCAGACTTTTTGTTGTTGTTTTTTTAATTGTACTTTTTAATGCTTTTAATACAGGACGTTTACTATAACTTGCTGTCCATGACTCTAGAACGAAGAATAAAACTTAAATAATAAGCGCAGTTCATGAGGCTATAGAAAACTATAGATGAACGAACGGAAGATTTACGTAGTAGAGATTACCAGTTCTGCTCTCGAAGACTTTTGGCTAAAGCGAGAAAACCAAACTAACTGTTTTAATCTGAAATATGAAAACGTTTGTTTTACATAGCTCAGCAAATTCGTTTTCGATAAAGTACTGATTTTTCAGACTAAAAAAGTTGTTTTTCTCGATCGACCGATCAAAGTAGTTTTCATTCGGCCGGTCGACCGGACCGGATCGGATCGGACGGTACCAGTTACATCTCTAAGTCAAGGTACACATAAACTTTGTTTTTCAGGAAGTTTGTTCCAATATTGTTCCGAAAATTAACTCTGAATTATGTTATCAGTACGAACCGACAGAACGTAAAAGAGAGTAAGCGTGTAGTTTGTATTATGGGTTCTTTGAAAAGAACCCATGAAACGAATTAATAAATATTGTGGGTGGTTGGTTTTTTATTTGTAATTTATTTTTTAGTTTTCTGCTATGCTGTATATGCGTACACTCATACATCGTACATAATAAAAAAATACTTATTCAGCAGCAAATAAACATGTGAACGCAATGTCAACAAATACAAACAAGTTAATTAAATATACGATTCAAATTTTCAATTGCTGTTGTTAAAAAATCGAAGAACTTGCTTCTGATCACAGATGAATGCGTCATTACTGTTTACAGCGTTTAGTGTTTTTGTTCCGAACATTTAGTATCACCTTAGTAGATCGTTGTTGATTCTTTATTAAAAAATGTTCCAAGGTTTATTTTTTACATTGAAAAAGAGGCAATTCACTTTCCCATTTTCTTACATTAGAACCAAATTGATAATATTTCATCCTCTACACTAGCTTGATATTCGATTCCTTTTAATGTCTCTTTTAACCACTCAAATATTTCTTGAGCATTTTCTATTACTGCATATGAGTTAACACTTAAAAACGACAACGAGTTCATCTCGTTTAATAATAATAGTAAAACTGGATAAAAGTCCTCAAAATACACTTCAATATGTAATATTTTAAGACGCCGATAATTATTAAAAGTATGAATAAATGTTTCGACATTATTTATAGTTATGTCGCTATATAACATCCCGGTTATAGTGAGATGTTGAATATTTTTAAATAATTGTTCGTTTTTAAATATAAAGTCCACTAAGTGAATTCTAGATAAACCTACAAAATTAAAACTTTTATTACTGATCTTTTTCTCGAAAAGGTGCATCTAATGTCTTACCTTCCCAATCTTCAATTTCTAGTTTCGTCAAATTTGTCGTGCTACTAAGTAATTTAATGAAACAATTCTCTGGCATTAGCTTGCTAATAGTCAATGATTGTAATTTTGACAATGGAATGATTTTGTTTAAAAACATACAAATCAAAAGATAATCGAATGGTTCCAAGCACTCATGGAAAATGTTACAGCTCATTTTACCGTCATCGTCGTATTCATAGTCACTTATATAGTCGCTTGTGAACAATAATGATAAATGATTAACACTGGGAAATACAACTGAAGGTGTATATCGAAAACTACTATCGAATTTTAATGTTAATCTTTCTACATGATTATATCTATTTAAAATGCTACGGAAAAGTGACAATGAATTTTGATTAAAAAAATTCAGAGTTAATTTTCGATTCATATATGGCGTTGTGTGGAGTATGCCACAATTAAAAACAACAAACCTAGAAAAAGGTCGAAGTTACATTTCAAAGAAAGGATATCATGTGTCGCACTAACTAGATCTATCAACTTTTTATAGATCAAATTTTAGATTATAGTTAAAGGATAGAACTTTTCATCACTAACAAAAACGGTGAGAAAACGAGATATTTAATTACCCAGCTGATGAAGCATGGAAACTGTAAACGGTGGTATACGGCTCTTATTCCTCTGTACATCAGACTGACAGCGGTCTCGCACCGTCCTGATTACTACCAGATATGGAGTCCGTATACAGCCATAGATGAAGCTGTAAACGGTCAAATATTCACCGTATTCCTCTGTATGTTTAACAATAGCCAAACTGTATTCGATCCTACTGTTCAACATAGCCTAATACCGCCACATAGATCTAATCTAGCCTTAAGCTCGAACATTATACCCTAACCTATACTGTAAAACTATAAATGTAACTCTCTAATTTCGTTCGTCACGATTGAATTTCATCTAAATCTCCTTGACCTCCTAAGTTCGAATAAGAAAATAAAAATACAAAAAGGTTTGAATTTTAATTCGGATTTGGTCTTTTATTTATCTTTGATCCTATGCTAAAATATCATTCTAGATGGTATACGAAGACTCTTTACTGTGCATAACCGAAAATCACGTTTCAAAAGCAAGCCGTGAGTGAGGTAAGAACCATTGCTTTCATCTCAGTCAAAGTACTAAAGAAGCAAAGAAGTCACTGTTCGAGAGAGGAGAGCGACATGAAAAATACTATTTTTATCTCATTCGAAGCCTAAAAGTTAAAAATATCACTATGAAAGAGAGGAAGGTTATGTGACAAGTACTGTTTTTATTTCTCCCATGGAAACTTAAAATAAAAAATAAGAAACGATGGTCGTACTTGGCCGTAACACGACTTTTCCGTGAAGACTCATTCATTGGTAAAGAGAAATTAGGTGAGTTTGGTTTTACATTTTCATCAAACATCTAAGAGTGCACGATTAGCGGTTGAAGGATTGGAACAAACTTCCTGAAAGACAAAGTTTATATGTACCTTGACTGAGTAAATAGAGCCTAAACCCCCCCCCCATAATAGAAGCCTCCGGGGCTTCTAAACTGTCCGAGTGTTCAAAATTTTTAGGGGGGGCTTGTATTACGAAGGGGCTACTATTACGACTTTCGTACAA